TAATTTTTCCTGAACAGAAGGGTGCTTGGTCTTACGTCTTTAAAAATTTATTTTTTTACCTTCTTAAAAACTCGGGGGGTTTAGTTTTTGACAAAAAAATAAAAAATCATTTTTTTTCGACTTTAAAAATTTAGTTGGGGAAAATTTTTTAGGGTTATTTTTGGAAAAAATTTTGGGGTCCTATGTGGGGCCCCCCTTCACAGTTTAAAAACCCCTTTTTTTAAAAACCCCGTGCTAATTTTTAAAAAAAAAAAATTTTTTTTTTTTAAAAAATAGGAACTTTTTCCCCTGGGAAAAAAAAATTTTGTTTTGGTTATTTATGTGGAATTTAGGGTTTTTGGGGCTATTATGGGGTTTGGAAGCCCAAATTTTTTTAAATTCTTACCCTTTGAGGTGTAGGGTTGGCACTAGAAGCTTTCTTGGGGCCCATGGTCACTTATTTTCCACAAACAGCACCGAAACACTGTAATAATACGAAATATTCCGAGTGTATGCTTGAATGTTACCGGGGAGGCTGGCTGGTAAACAATGGGACGGGCGGCACATGTGAGGCTGGCTGAGGGCCCACATTGGACGCGTCTGGGACGAAGGCCGCTGAGCGGGTTTTTGTCCACTATGCGGGGCAAAATTTTAGCGAACAAAGCGTCCGCTATGCGGATTGTTCGCTATGCAAGGCGTTCGCTATGCGGGGGTCCACTGTACTAATTTGGACTACCCAATAAGGTGGTCAGAAATTGGCAATTTGGCCAATTTCACGCAAACTAAAAAATGCCAATTTCAAATAGGTCCAGAAAAAACAAGGTTGACATTCATGGCACTAAAAAAAACATATGCTCGTTCATTAGTCACATCTCTAGGCCCCTCTTATATTATTATTGCTTTCTATTTTGATTTTTTATTCATTCAAAAAAATATAAAATTTACTGTTATGCAGACTACTGCATTATTGAAAAAAATGGTATAAATAATATCAGTGCACTAGTAAAAGAATACTAGACTCCCCAGTTGACGTGTATTGGACGTGGGGGTGTGATTTATTTACTCCTGAACATTGGTAAAAATCGAACATTTCCGCTACGTTGAGCTCAGTTTCAAGGTTGTTTCATCGCAAAGTAATGAAAATCATCTCAAATTTCTGTAATATGTTGTCCATTTTTCACCTAAGACCATGAAAAGCGCGAATACAACGATAAATACTAACGAAAATTTACACCTCAAAGTCGGCGTTTTATTCCAAAAAAACGATCAGAGTTTTTTTTTTTCTCATTACACAATGTTACTGCAGGATTTTTTTTTATGTGGTGCACACTGACCACACAGACACATTCTCTCACATGTGGGCCAACCAGCTTTCTCCCCGCTTGATTTGAAGCCGCTAGAATTATTTGAGTATAAGTGGACCCCCGCATAACGATGGCATCACATAGCGATTATTTCGCATACCGCTTACTTTATCGCAAAATTTTGCCGCGCATACCGATTAAAAACCCGCTCAACCGATTTTTCGTCCAAGACGCGTCCAATGTGCGCCCTCCCCCAGCCTCACATGTGCCGCCCGTGCCATTGTTTACCAGCCAGCCTCCGCGCAAAACACCCAAAGCATACACTCGGAATATTTCGTATTATTACAGTGTTTTCGGTGGTGTTTCTGGAAAATAAGTGACCATGGGCCCCAAGAAAGCTTCTAGTGCCAACCGTACACCAATAACGGTAAGAAAAACCCATTGAAATGAAGAAAGAGATCATTGATAAGTATTAAAGTGGAGTGCGTATTGCCGACCTAGTCAAGTTGTACAAGAAACCCCAATCAACCATCGCTACTTTTTGGGGGGCAACAAAAAGACAATCAAGGAAGTTTGTTCTTGCCAAAGGTTTAACGTGTTTTCGAAACAAAGATCGCAAGTGATGGAAGATGTTGAGGACTCTTTTTGGGTGTGGATAAATGAAAAACAGCTAGCAGGAGATAGCGTCTCTCAAGCGATCATATGTGAAAAGGCTAGGAAGTTGCATGAGGATTTAATTAAAAAAATGCCTGCAACTAGTGATGATGTGAGTGAATTTAAGGCCAGCAAAGGTTGGTTTGAGAGATTTAAGAAGCGTAGTGGCATCCATAGTGTGATAAGGCATGGTGAGGCTGCCAGTTCGACCACAAAGCGGCCTGAAAAATATGTGCAGGAATTCAAGGAGTATATAAAAAACTGAAGGACTGAAACCTGAACAAGTGTTTAATTGTGATGAAACAGGCCTGTTCTGGAAGAAAATCCCAAGCAGGACCTACATTACTCAGGAGGAAAAGGCACTCCCGGACATAAGCCTATGAAAGACAGGCTTACTCTTCTCATGTGTGCCAATGCACTGGTGATTGCAAAGTGAAGCCTTTATTAGTGTATCACTCTGGAAACTCCCAGAGCGTTCAGGCCAAAAAAATGTCCTCAAGGATAATTTGTGTGTTTTCTGTGGAGGGCAAACAGTAAGGCATGGGTCACTAGGGAATTTTTCTATAAATGGTTACACCATGCATTTGCCCCCAATGTGAAAGATTACCTAACTGAAAAGAAATTAGAACTTAAATGCACTCCTGGGTTAGACAATGCCCCTGGTCATCCTACAGACGTGGCAGAGCGACTTTATGGGGACATGAGCTTCATTAAGGTGAAGTTTTTGCCTCCTAATACCACTCCTTCCTGCAGCCCATGGGCCAGCAGGTTATTTCCAACTTCAAGAAAAATGTACACAAAAGCTCTGTTTGAAAAGGTGCTTTGGAATGACCTCAAAACTCAACTGACTCTAAGAGAGTTTTGGAGAGATCACTTTAATATCCTCAATTGTGTAAACCTTATAGGGAAGGGTTTTGGGGGGAAGTGACTAAGAGGACCTTTAAAATCTGCTTGGAAGAAACTGTGGCCAGAATGTGTAGACAAAAGGATTTTGAAGGGTTTGGGCTAACCCTGAGAATCCTGTGCCAGTTGAGGAATCATTGTGGCATTGGGGAAAGTCCTTGGGGTTGGAGGTTAGTGGGGAGGATGTGGAAGAGTTGGTGGAGGAGGACAATGAAGAACTAACCACTGATGAGCTGATAGATCAACTTCAAGAGCAAGAGGCCAGACCTGGGGGAAACTGGTTCAGAGGAGGGGAGAGAGAAATTGAAGAAGTTGCCTACTACAAAGATAAAGGGAAAACTGTGCAAAGTGGCTTGAATGCAAACCTTCATGGATGAAAATCACCCTCACACAGTATTGCAAGCCGTGTTGGCAACCTGTACACTGACAATGTTGTGAAACACTTTAGGGAAGTGAATAAAGGAACGAGAGGTACAGGCCACTATGGACAGATATCTTGTGCGAAAGAAGTCCAGTGACTCTGAAGCTGGCCCTAGTGGGATTAAAAAAAAAGGGGAAATAACCCCCGAAAAAGGGCTTACTACCTCAAGTCCTAATGGAAGGGATTCCCCTTCTAAACAGTAAGAAGATAATGCTCTCCCCTCCTCCCATCCCATCAGTCATCACCAGATCTTCAATAAAAGTAAATGTCATGTAAGTGTGCATGCCTTTTTTCAGTTTTGTGTGTATTAAAATTAATATTTCATGTGGTAAAAAAATTTTTTTTTTCATACTTTTGGGTGTCTTGCACGGATTAATTTTATTTCCATTATTTCTTATGGGGAAAATTCATTCACATAACGATTATTTCGCATAACAATTACCCCTCTTTTCACGGATTAAAAATCGTTAACCGGGGGTCCACTGTATATACGTCAGAAACACTGGCTCGTAAGACGTATTTATACGTCGAAAACAGTCAAAGGGTTAATCAGGTTACGTTCTCTAATGAATGTTCGTATCTGGTGAGGAAGAGCTGTCAGGAACTGGTCAGCAACCATGAAGTCCCCTAAGAGATTCATAACTGTGATCAATTCTTGAACTCTCTATCCCAAAAATCGAACAAACGAAAGAGTGTTACCTGTAACTGCTGAAAGTTTTGGCCAGGCTGTAAGGTGGCATACCTGAAATCTTTCCTATAAGAATTTGTGGTTTTTTGATATGCTTTAAGGATTGCCTTCTTCAGTAGGTTATAATTACATTGATACCTGCGACAAAAATTGCATAGATATCAAAGTTGTACCAGAAAATAACATTCCCAACCTGGTAGCCCAGGTGTCAGCAGGCCATTCACAGAGGGTAGCGGTATTTTCAAACCTTTATAATTATGAAGTTATGTCTTCCCCCTCTGTGAAGGTAGGCAAATTAGGTGTTGGAATATGTGCACTAGCTGCACGTTGTTCCATTACTCCTTCCTCTAATTGCGTTGTGAGAAAGTCAACTTTTATTCCTAACAAAACGAGACTTCTCAAGCTCGCGATCTTTTTCTCTCTTCTTAACTCATGTTCTTGCATTTTTCCCCGTTCTTAGCTCTTTTTCCCCTC